TAATTAGAACCACTGAAGTCGCTGCGACTGTAGCAAAGGTTCCGGTGCTGCTTCAAGGCGACTTCTATCTGACTTGTGCCCATAGACTTCAATGGAAGTCGCTCCTAATCGGATCCCCCTCTATATTGAAGTGATTTGGATCCGACATTACAGGAAGATTACCCAGCATTCCCTGAACCTGGTAAATGATGACCCCGCACCTCGCCTGGACTGGAGAGTGTTGGGGTCCCATGGGGGGGGGGGTACTGTTGAGCGGATGATCCCTGCAGAGCGCTGCGTCAGCCCGGAACACGAGCGCGGCTCGCGAGGCTTGATCATGTTCCCCAATGATTGTAATTCACATCTGATCCGTATTCCGTCCATTGTAGGAGCGTTGGGCCCCGGCCCCGCACCTCCCACTCCGGGAAACTTCTAATGCCGCCGATGATGATGTGTGAAGTTTTGCCAAGAATAAAAAATGAATCCCCTTTAATTGGCCCATTCTGTGCGTCGGGACGGCGAGGCCAGAAAAATCACCTGTGTTATTGTAACTGGACGCTAATTCACAGCAAATGTCAGCAGGCGGCTCCGGTTACACCGAGCGAGGAAATGCATCACCAGGGCCAGCGGAGAGCCTGCCTGAGACCGCCGTGGGACGCATCCAGAGAGCACAATGCAGGCGCCTTACACCAGGGAGCTGAGGGATGGAAATTCCACTCAAGTGCTTCCATAAGCGACACATTTCAAGTGAGCAAGATAACATCCTGAAATATTTCCTCTACACAGTCCCCGCCCCAGAGGAGCGCACATTCCACTATCCTCTACACAGTCCCCGCCCCAGAGGAGCGCACATTCCACTATCCTCTACACGGTCCCCACCCCAGAGGAGCGCACATTCCAATATCCTCCACACGGTCCCCACCCCAGAGGAGCGCACATTCCAATATCCTCTACACGGTCCCCACCCCAGAGGAGCGCACATTCCAATATCCTCTACACGGTCCCCACCCCAGAGGAGCGCACATTCCAATATCCTCTACACGGTCCCCACCCCAGAGGAGCGCACATTTCAATATCCTCCACACGGTCCCCACCTCAGAGGAGCGCACATTCCAATATCCTCCACACAGTCCCCACCCCAGAGGAGCGCACATTCCAATATCCTCTACACAGTCCTCACCCCAGAGGAGCGCACATTCCGATATCCTCTACACAGTCCCCTCCCCAGAGGAGCACACATTCCAATATCCTCTACACAGTCCCCACCCCAGAGGAGCGCACATTCCAATATCCTCTACACAGTCCCACCTCAGAGGAGCGCACATTCCAATATCCTCTACACAGTCCCCACCCCAGAGGAGCGCACATTCCAATATCCTCTACACAGTCCCCACCCCAGAGGAGCGCACATTCCAATATCCTCCACACAGTCCCCTCCCCAGAGGAGCGCACATTCCACTATCCTCTACACAGTCCCCACCCCAGAGGAGCGCACATTCCAATATCCTCTACACAGTCCCCACCCCAGAGGAGCGCACATTCCAATATCCTCTTCTCAGCCTCCACCCCCGAGAAGCACACATTCCTCTATCCTCTACACAATCCCCACCCCAGAGAAATGCACATTCCACTATCCTCTACACAGTCCCCACCCCAGAGAAACGCACATTCCACTATCCTCTACACAGCCCCCACCCCAGAGGAACGCACATTCCACTATCCTCTACACAGCCCCCACCCCAGAGGAACGCACATTCCACTATCCTCTACAAAGTCCCCACCCCAGGGGAGCGCACATTCCTCTATCCTCTACAGAGTCCCCACCTCAGAGGAGCGCACATTCCAATATCTTCCACACAGTCCCCACCCATGAGTAGCAAACATTCCTCTACTCTCCACACAGTCTCCACTCCACAGGCATGCACATTCCAATATCGTCTATGCAGTCCCCAACCCAGTGGAGTGCACAGTTCAACATCCTAACCACAGTCTCCACCCCAGAGGAGTGCCCATTCCAATATCCTTCACGCAGTCTTTTACCCTGGAAGGAGCCCACATTTCACTATCCTCTACACAGTCCCTACCTCAGAGGAGCACATGTTCCTCTATTCTCCACGGTCCAATACCATCACCTCAGTCCAGCCTCAGAAGTGTGCACACTCCAATATCCTCCACACAATCCCACCCCAGAGGAACTCACACTTTATTATCCTCCACACTGTTCCTACATTAGAGAAGTGAACACACAAATATTCTCCACACAGTCCCCACCCCAGAAGACTGCACATACAAGTATCATCCACTCAGTCTTCAGCTCGAGGAGCGCACACTCCATGATCCTCCAAGCAGTCCTAGTCTCAACAAACTGTACACTTTAATATCCTTCATGCAATCCCCACCCCTGAGGAGTGCACACTACAATATTTTCATTGTGGTCCCCACCCTAGAGGAATGCACATTCAAATATCCTCCATACAGTCTCCAGTTCAGAAGCGCACACTCCAGGACCCTCCATAAAGGCCCGGCCTCAGTAAAGTGCACACTCCAATGTTCTCTATACAGTCTGCACCACAGAGAATTACACATTTCATATATATGTTTATACAGTCTCCACCCCTGAGGAGCATACATCCCAATATCCTTCACACAGTTCCCACCCCAGAGGAGTGCATATTCCAAAATCCACCCCAGAGGAGTGCACACTCCAATATCCTCCACACAGCCCCTACTCCAAAGGAGGACACACTCCAATATCTCTATATAGTCTCCACCCCAGAGGAGTGCACAATCCAGCATCCTAGACACAGTTCCCACCCCAGAGGAGTGCATATTACAATATCCACCACAAAATATCCACCCCAGAGGAGTACACACTCAAATGTCCTCCACACAGTCTCCACCCCAGAGGAGCGCACATTCCAATATCCTCTATACAGCCTCCACCCCAGAGGAGCGCACAGTCCAATATCCTCTATACAGCCTCCACCCCAGAGGAGCGCACATTCCAATATCCTCTATACAGCCTCCACCCCAGAGGAGCACACAGTCCAATATCCTCTATTCCATGGGTGGGCAACTGTGGCCCTCCAACTGTTGGTGAACTACAAGTCCCATCATGCCTCTGCCTTTGGGAGTCATGCTTGTAACTGTCAGTTTTGCAATGTCTCATGGGACTTGTAGTTCTACAACAGCTGGAGGGCCACAGTTGCCCACCCCTGCTCTATACAGTCTGTACCCCAGAGGAGTGCACACTCCAATATCCTCCACACAGTCTCCACCCCAGAGGAGTGCCCATTATAAAATCCTTCACAGTCTCCAGCCTAAAAGGATCGCGCCATTCCTTTATCCTCTACACAGTCCTCACCCCAGAGGAGCTCACACTCCAATATCCTCCACACAATCCCAATTCAGAGATATGCACGCCCTGATGTCTAACACACCGGGTCCTGCCAGCATGTGTTTGGGTTATAGGAGACCCTCCCTCACCCACTGATAGCGTACACTATATTGACCGCAGTATTGGGACGCCAACCTTTCCACCGACATGACTATTCATGGCCCCCCAGTCTTAGTCCATAGGGTTCAATATTGAGTTGGCCCCGCCCTTTCCACACACATGACCTTTAATGGCCCCCAGTCTTAGTCCGTAGGGTTCAATATTGAGTTGGCCCCGCCCTTTCCACACACATGACCTTTAATGGCCCCCCAGTCTTAGTCCGTAGGGTTCAATATTGAGTTGGCCCCTCCCTTTCCACACACATGACCTTTAATGGCCTCCCAGTCTTAGTCCGTAGGGTTCAATATTGAGTTGGCCCCGCCCTTTCACACACACATGACCTTTAATGGCCCCTCCCAGTCTTAGTCCGTAGGGGTTCAATATTGAGTTGGCCCCGCCCTTTGCAGCTATAACAGCTTCAACTCTTCTGGGGAAGGCCGTCCACAAGGTTTAGGAGGGTGTCTATGGGAAGGTTGGACCATTCTTCCAGAAGCACATTTGTCAGGTCAGGCACTGATGTCGGGGGAGGGGCACTGATGTCGGGGGAGGAGGCACTGTTGTCGGGGGAGGAGGCACTGATGTCGGGGGAGGAGGCACTGATGTCGGGGGAGGAGGCCTGGCTCGCAGTCTCCGCTCTAATTCATCCCAAAGGTGTTCTATGGGGTTGAGGTCAGGACTCTGTGCAGGACAGTCAAGTTCCTCCACCCCAAACTGGCTCCTCCATGTCTTTATGGACCTTGCTTTGTGCACTGGTGGGCAGTCATGTTGGAACAGGAAGGGGCCATCCCCAAACTCCTCCCACAAAGTTGGGAGCATGAAATTGTCCAAAATGTCACCTTAAGAGTTCCCTTCACTGGAACTAGGGGGCCAAGCCCAACCCCTGAAAAACACCCCCACACCATAATCCCCCCTCCACCAAACTTTACACTTGGCACAATGCAGTCAGGCAAGTACCGTTCTCCTGGCCACCACCAAACCCAAACACGTCCATCGGATTGCCAGACAGAGAAGCGTGATTGGTCACTCCAGAGAACACGCCTTCCCTGCTCTATAGTCCAGTGGCGGCGTGCTTTACACCACGGCATCCGACGCTTTGCATTGCACTTGGTGATGGAAGGCTTGGATGCAGCTGCTCGGCCATGGAAACCCATTCCATGAAGCTCTCTACGCACTGTTGTTGGGCTCATCTGAAGGCCACACCAAGTTTGGAGGTCTTTAGCTATTGACTCTGCAGACAGTTGGCGACTTCTGCGCACTGTGCGCTTCAGCATGCGCTGACCCCGCCCTGTCATGTGACGTGGCCTACCACTTGGTGGCTGAGTGGCTGTTGTTCCCAGTGGCTTCCACTTTGTTATAATCCCACTAACAGTTGAGCGTGGAATATTTAGTAGCCAGGAAATGTCACGGATGGACTTATTGCCCAGGTGGCCACCTATCACGGGACCACGCTTGGAGTCACTGAGCTCCTGAGAGCGACCCATTTCTTTCACCAATGTTTGTAGAAGCCGTCTGCATGCCTAGGGGCTTGATTGTATACACCTGTGTCCATGGAGGGGATTGGAACACTGGAATCACATGATTGGGAGGGGATTGGAACACCTGATTCACATGGTATGGAGGGGATTGGAACCCTGAGTCACATGATATGGAGGGGATTGGAACACCTGAATCACATGATTGGGAGGGGATTGGAACACCTGAATCACATGGTATGGAGGGGATTGGAACACCTGAATCACATTATATGGAGGGATTGGAACACCGGAATCACGATTGGGAGGGGATTGGAACACTTGAATCACATGATATGAAGGGGATTGGAACACCTGAATCACATGATATGGAGGGGATTGGAACACCTGAATCACATGATATGAAGGGGATTAGAACACCTGAATCACATGATATGAGGGGATTGGAACACCTGAATCACATGATATGGAGGGGATTGGAACACCTGAATCACATGATATGGAGGGGATTGGAACACCTGGAATCACATGATTGGGAGGGGATTGGAACACCTGAATCACATGATTGGGAGGGGGATAGGAGCACCTGAATCACATGACTGGGAGGGGATTATAACACCTGAATCACATGATATGAAGGGGATTGGAACACCTGAATCACATGATATGGAGGGGATTGGAACACCTGAATCACATGATATGGAGGGGATGGAACACCTGAATCACATGATTGGGAGGGGATTGGAACACCTGAATCACATGATTGGGAGGGGATTGGAACACCTGAATCACATGATTGGGAGGTGATTAGAACACCTGAGTCACATGATTGGGAGGGGATTGGAGCACCTGAATCACATGACTGGGAGGGGATTGGAACACCTGAATCACATGATATGGAGGGGATTGGAACACCTGAATCACATGATATGTAGGGGGGGTCAATACAGTGTATATACACCGTGTTCCACATGATTCTGCAGATGATATTTCCTCATTTCCCTCAATAATTGATGTAAATATCAGTCGGCAGAATTCTCAGGTGACAACTAGAAGAGGACAATTCACATTTTATTGAACAAACCTCCTAATGATAACAGGATTTGTGTTCCGGATTATTCCGCACAGGAAGTTTCCAAACACTTTCTAGGACTGAAAATTGTCATTTGTTGTGTTTTGCAGCAAATTTACTGAAATCAAAAGCTATTTCAATCCAACTTTTCCCAACATTGTAACTTTGTAAACATTTGAAGCGTCACGTTACATTGTAACATAGGAGCCCTTATCTGATAGCAGATCACAAGTCTGGCATCCATTGAGCTTGGGAGTTTTTGGACAGTTTCTGCTGGAATTTGTTTGCAAGATGTCAGAATCGCCTCCCGGAGCTGCTGTTTGGATGTAAACTGCCTCCCCACCCTCATAGATCTTTTGCTTGAGGATGCTCCAAAGGTTCTCCATAGGATTGAGGTCAGGGGAGGATGGAGGCCACACCATGACTCTCCTTTTATCCCCATAGCAGCCATTGATGCGGAGGTATTCTTTGCAGCATGAGATGGTGCATTGTCATGCATGAAGATGATTTTATTACGGAAAGCATAGTTCTTCCTTCTGTACCAGGGAAGAGAGTGGTCAGTCATAAACTCCACATACTTTGCAGAGGTCATCTTTACACCTTCGGGGCCCCTGAAGGGGGCCGACCTGCTCTGTTCCCATGATTCCGGCCCAAAACATGACTCCACCACCGCCTTGCTGACGTCGTAGCCTTGTTGGAACAGGGTGGCTGTCCACCAACCATCCACTACTCCATCCATCTGGACCATCCAGGGTCGCACGGCACTCATCAGTGAACAGGACTGTTTGAAAATGAGTCTTCATGTATTTTTCTGCCCAATGCAGCCGTTTCTGCTTGTGAGCGTTGGTTAGTGGTGGCCGAATAGAAGGTTTCTGCACAGTTGCAGGACTCTGGAGGACTCTACACCTTGATGTCCGTGGGACTCCAGAGGCTCCAGCAGCTTCAAATATCTGTTTGCTGCTCTGTAATGGGATTTTAGCAGCTGCTCTCTTGATCCGATGCCTGAATCAGCCACAAATCTCTTCATAGTGCAATGATCACGCTGACGTTTTCCTGAAATATCGAATGTTTTCATCCCTCGTCCAAGGCATCGAACTATTCCACTCTTTTCAGCAGCAGAGAAATCCTTTTTCTTCCCCATATTGCTGGAAAATGGCGCTCTGCTTAATAATGTGGAACGCCGTCCTTTAGGAGTTTGTCCTGAAATTGGGCTCACCGGCCAATCTAATTATCACAGGAGTCCCAGATTGTTTTCAGTGATCAAAAGAGCCCTGACACACAATGCCATCCATGAGTTACACTGAAAAACAAAAGATTTCATCTCTGTGACATTAAAATAGAATCTGCAGAATAATTTGGAACGCGATGTAATGTATACATAGGACGGTGCCAGTGTACGTCATTCACCCGCACACACCTCATGGAATGCTGAGAACCAACAATCGCCCTCCAATGACCTGCAGACGATTTGTCTGTTAGTGAGGTGCGTTGGTCTCGTTGGTCGATCGTACAATCCCCCCCCCCGCCGTGGTCTAGGGTCGTCCTGCAGATGAGGTTGTCTGTTAGTGAGGTGCGTTGGTCTCGTTGGTCGATCGTACAATCCCCCCCCCCCCGCCGTGGTCTAGGGTCGTCCTGCAGATGATTTGTCTGTTAGTGAGGTGCGTTGGTCTCGTTTGGTCGATCGTACAATCCCCCCCCCCCCCCCCCCGTGGTCTAGGGTCGTCCTGCAGATGAGGTTGTCTGTTAGTGAGGTGCGTTGGTCTCGTTGGTCGATCGTACAATCCCCCCCCCCCCCCGTGGTCTAGGGTCGTCCTGCAGATGATTTGTCTGTTAGTGAGGTGCGTTGGTCTCGTTGGTCGTTCGTACAATCCCCCCCCCCCCGCCGTGGTCTAGCTCCGCCCTGCAGATGAGGTTGTCTGTTAGTGAGGTGCGTTGGTCTTGTTGGTCGATCGTACAATCCCCCCCCCCCCCCCGTGGTCTAGGGTCGTCCTGCAGACGATTTGTCTGTTAGTGAGGTGCGTTGGTCTCATTGGTCGATCGTACATTCCCCCCCCCCCCCCCCCAGCCGTGGTCTAGGGTCGTCCTGCAGATGATTTGTCTGTTAGTGAGGTGCGTTGGTCTCGTTGGGTCGATCGTACAATCCCCCCCCCAGCCGTGGTCTAGGGTCGTCCTGCAGATGATTTGTCTGTTAGTGAGGTGCGTTGGTCTCGTTGGTCGATCGTACAATCCCCCCCCCCCCCCGCCGTGGTCTGGGGTCGTCCTGCAGACGATTTGTCTGTTAGTGAGGTGCGTTGGTCTCGTTGGTCGATCGTACAATCCCCCCCCCCCCCCCAGCCGTGGTCTAGGGTCGTCCTGCAGATGATTTGTCTGTTAGTGAGGTGCGTTGGTCTCGTTGGTCGATCGTACAATCCCCCCCCCCCCCGCCGTGGTCTAGGGTCGTCCTGCAGACGATTTGTCTGTTAGTGAGGTGCGTTGGTCTCGTTGGTCGATCGTACAATCCCCCCCCCCCCCCCCCCCAGCCGTGGTCTAGGGTCGTCCTGCAGATGATTTGTCTGTTAGTGAGGTGCGTTGGTCTCGTTGGTCGATCGTACAATCCCCCCCCCCCCCCGTGGTCTAGGGTCGTCCTGCAGACGATTTGTCTGTTAGTGAGGTGCGTTGGTCTCGTTGGTCGATCGTACAATCCCCCCCCCCCCGTGGTCTAGGGTCGTCCTGCAGATGATTTGTCTGTTAGTGAGGTGCGTTGGTCTCGTTGGTCGATCGTACAATCCCCCCCCCCCGCCGTGGTCTAGGGTCGTCCTGCAGACGATTTGTCTGTTAGTGAGGTGCGTTGGTCTCGTTGGTCGATCGTACAATCCCCCCCCCAGCCGTGGTCTAGGGTCGTCCTGCAGATGATTTGTCTGTTAGTGAGGTGCGTTGGTCTCATTGGTCGATCGTACAATCCCCCCCCCCCCGCCGTGGTCTTGGGGTCGTCCTGCAGACGATTTGTCTGTTAGTGAGGTGCGTTGGTCTCGTTGGTCGATCGTACAATCCCCCCCCCCCCAGCCGTGGTCTAGGGTCGTCCTGCAGATGATTTGTCTGTTAGTGAGGTGCGTTGGTCTCGTTGGTCGATCGTACAATCCCCCCCCCCCCCCGCCGTGGTCTAGGGTCGTCCTGCAGACGATTTGTCTGTTAGTGAGGTGCGTTGGTCTCGTTGGTCGATCGTACAATCCCCCCCCCCCCAGCCGTGGTCTAGGGTCGTCCTGCAGATGATTTGTCTGTTAGTGAGGTGCGTTGGGTCTCGTTGGTCGATCGTACAATCCCCCCCCCCCGCCGTGGTCTAGGGTCGTCCTGCAGACGATTTGTCTGTTAGTGAGGTGCGTTGGTCTCGTTGGTCGATCGTACAATACCCCCCCCCCCCCCCCAGCCGTGGTCTAGGGTCGTCCTGCAGATGATTTGTCTGTTAGTGAGGTGCGTTGGTCTCGTTGGTCGATCGTACAATCCCCCCCCCCCCGCCGTGGTCTAGGGTCGTCCTGCAGACGATTTGTCTGTTAGTGAGGTGCGTTGGTCTCGTTGGTCGATCGTACAATCCCCCCCCCCCCCCCCGTGGTCTAGGGTCGTCCTGCAGATGATTTGTCTGTTAGTGAGGTGCGTTGGTCTCGTTGGTCGATCGTACAATCCCCCCCCAGCCGTGGTCTAGGGTCGTCCTGCAGACGATTTGTCTGTTAGTGAGGTGCGTTGGTCTCGTTGGTCGATCGTACAATCCCCCCCCCCCCCAGCCGTGGTCTAGGGTCGTCCTGCAGATGATTTGTCTGTTAGTGAGGTGCGTTGGTCTCGTTGGTCGATCGTACAATCCCCCCCCCCCCCCCCCGCCGTGGTCTAGGGTCGTCCTGCAGATGAGGTTGTCTGTTAGTGAGGTGCGTTGGTCTTGTTGGTCGATCGTACAATCCCCCCCCCCCCAGCCGTGGTCTAGGGTCGTCCTGCAGATGAGGTTGTCTGTTAGTGAGGTGCGTTGGTCTCGTTGGTCGATCGTAACAATCCCCCCCCCCCCCCCCCCGCCGTGGTCTAGCTCCGCCCTGCAGATGAGGTTGTCTGTTAGTGAGGTGCGTTGGTCTCGTTGGTCGATCGTACAATCCCCCCCAGCCGTGGTCTAGGGTCGTCCTGCAGATGATTGTCTGTTAGTGAGGTGCGTTGGTCTCGGTCAATCGTACAATCCCCCCCCCCCCCCGTGGTCTAGGGTCGTCCTGCAGATGATTTGTCTTGTCCTCGATAATCCCAGAAGTAAATCTCTTCTATCCCCGACATACACGGTGAGATTTTATTCGATGTAATATAGTCGTCTTCTCATCACAGGTTCAGCCGCAGGGAGGTAATAGGAACCATATTTGTGGCGTTCGGCGGACCTCCACGTGTTGCGTGTTGCGTGTCGCTCAGCTTGACGTGATCTGATTGTCTCTATAATACAACCTGAGAGGTTCACAAAAAACGGGAGATCATTGAATGGAGTCCCGGCGATTGTACGTCCGGCCAAAACCATCACCGTACTGAGCCGGTGCCCCCCTGTGCCAGCCGTGCCCCCTCGTACAGTCCTACCGAGACATGGACCCCTGACCGCAGATTGTACGTGACGGGTGAACGCAGGACATGGACTCCTGACCGCAGATTGTACGTGAGGGGTGAACGCAGGACATGGAACCCTGACCGCAGATTGTACGTGAGAGGTGAGCGCAGGACATGGACCCTGACCGCAGATTGTACACGAGGGGTGAACGCAGGACATGGACCCCTGACCACAGATTGTACGTGAGGGGTGAACGCAGGACATGGACCCCTGACCGCAGATTGTACGTGTGAGAGGTGAACGCAGGACATGGACCCCTGACCACAGATTGTACGTGAG